AGTGGAAGTTCAGAATGGATTGTAATTACCTTTTAGAGAGGTCTGTCCCAACTTCAAATGGTCACTAAACCACTAGTCCTAATTCAAAGACTCCCTGTACTTATTGAAATATCAGAACCACATTACAGTAGTAGTGTCATGGTTCTGACAGACAGAGAAGAATAAAGCAGAACTCCGAGGCTTGCACATTCCTCAAAGAACATGTTTATTAGTTACCAATATCGGCACGTCAAAAGTGAAACCAAGTCTGGAGATACATGTAACAATTCCCCAATACAAAGTTTAAAAATCCCACCCCTAAAACTATCCAAGCAACTACGTTCCCCAATGCATCTTCTTGGCGGGCTTTTTATGCAACGCCCTGCCTGCAGTCTCAGAAGCAGCCGATGACCTTGGTTCCCACCGGACAAAAGATTATTTAGATCAGTGAAGCACCTTCCCTCCATTCTATGTGGCAACCGAAAATGAGTAGGAAAAATGGCTGCAGCCATGCTCATTTGTAGCATTGACAAGGCAATAAAGCAACCATCTCTCTTTCTTATACAAATCTCACTGGTTTGAAAATAGTTGATGTATTCTGGTTTGTTTTAATTCTGGATTATAAATTAATTCAGAATTAATTAATTAATAATTAACCCTGTCTTATATTTGGTTTGGTTTGTGCAGTTAAAAACAACTCCTGCCACTCCAGAAGACAAATTCCCAGGAGAAGGTAATAATTGAATAAACAAACAAATAAATAGCACTCTGTTGTCCCCTCCCCAAACTTCCCATTTCTTTTGTTACCACACAGAACTTCTCACTGAGCATAATAAAAAATTGGAGATTTGATTCCCACATCCTAAATTACTTGCTACCCTCACAATGCTCAACAATTAACAATCCCATGCAGAATGGAAAATGGTGCGATTTCAGAAAAATATATGTAAGCAATACCAAAAATTGCTCAAAATCACCCAACAAATAGGGAAAACACATGCCTCATCCCCTATACAGGGCAAATAAAACTATATTTCTGATCCAGAATCAAAAGAACAAAAAATACAAATTTAAGCAAAACACTCTTACTAGGATGTTTTGGATAACATCTGGTTACTGGCAAAAAATATGATACCAATAAAAGACTGACCAAAAAAAGTTGTGATTACATTTCTTGTCAGTAAAAATAAAAGGCAATGATAGTGATTTAAGGTCTCACTGTCACATGGAAACAGTTCAGTTTTAGGAATTTATTATTTTATTTTTTAAAAAAATATTGCATAATCTTATCTGGATGTTTTTGATGTGGCGAGGTTGTAAGGAACATTCCAAAGATGTAAATATTAACTTCCTAGATCACTAAACCTTCCATCAGCTTCCCATTTAACATAATTTTTTATTACAATAAAACTAAGTGAATCACCAATTTTTTACTCTAAAGCAGTGTTTTTCGACCTTAGCATTTAAAATGTGTGAACTTCAATTCCCAGAATTGCTGAGGTTGAGAAACAGGGCTGTAAAGGATGTCTGTTATAGATTCCAATTTGCTTATGTGAATAAGGTAGCACCATGGTCAGCTCATCTGTGGCTTTTCTTCTTTGTGACTGCTCCATATTCCTATAGCTCTGCCATTTCTGCACAGAATAACCTTGAAACGCCTCCTTTATAGAAACCCCACATCACAGAATACAATTTCTTTCCCTCCCTCCTGCCCTTTCTCCTTGAGGAAATAATGTCTGATTCTGAGAATGCCATCCCCCCCCCCAAAAAAAATAAAGGATAGAAAAAAATAAAGCATAACCTATGGTGCACTTTATAAATACTTCGAGCTATAGATTTGCAGTAACAATGGATAAATATTAAACACCCAGCCCAAATAACTGTTTATTCATTATTTTTAAAATAACTAAATATATTGTATATGTGGAATAATACCTCATAAATAGTAATGTTAGAAACACAGAGTTAAGAATTAACGATGCCTTCATACCAAGTGATCAAAAACACAAAAAGAAGTTATTTCTCCTATCACCCTAAATGTCATTTTTCCTTCTGTTTATATCTAAATGGAGTCTCACCTTGAAGCAAAATCAATCTAAAGACAAAAATTATGTAAGAATTTCTACAAAGCTCACATAAGATGACATGTGTCACTAGTTTGAAGTCAGAGCCAACTGAATGAAGACCAACCTCTATCAATCATAATGTGTCAGTCAGCACATCTATGCACGGCAAAATTAAAATATGTGTTCTTCAAAGCTAACACTATAGTTCACAATTCCCTATATCACAACTAAATTTAAATAGAGCATTATTTCATCATTGTGTGAATTGAGTTTTCAATATCTACGTATCAATTTATAAACTTAATACCTGTTTAATCAGAAAATCTATGCTTCCTGTTTTGAATACCTGCATAGCATGATTTCTAATTTTCTTTCTTATCAATAAGATGGATTTACTATCAACAAATCAGGGATGTATAAAACAATTCAGAAGTTAAAAGCCTGTCTTGCTTTATGTTATTTTCCCCCCAAATAATAAAGAATGAAAGTTCACAATGTAACCTACATCCAAATAAAGATATTCAAAGAAGTATCTTCTCATATGCATCTTTTTCTTGGATTTGCATGCAAATGTTGTCTTTGTGTATCTTATTGCTTTCAATGTTAACTAGTCTTACATAACTACACACAGATAAAACTGGAACAGATTAATGTTAGAAATATTGTTTTTAAATGTACACCCTAGTAAGCTGTTCAAAGATCAATGATAACTCTTCCTATGCTAGTTTAAAATAATCATTGTTTGAATCCTGGTTTATTTGTGCATTTCAACAAACAGCTGAGAGTGTGTGAAACATGGTACTAAAACCTTGTAGTGTACCTGAAATAATGTGAGGTGATGTTAATAAAAGGTCCATCTGCAGGGTTGTCTCTGTATGTATTCATGCATGACTGTAATTTGACACTGAAGTTATCAAGTGATGCATAGGAATTGGTTTTACTCTCACTTTGCTAAAATCCCATTTTCCAAATGAAGATGAAAACAGTGTTATACTGTAACCTTAAGAAAATCTCACAGCTGTTTATTTGAACTTCAGATGAACAGGGATATTATACATAGTTCAAAGCTTTTCAATAAAGCTTTCCTAAATTGGATATGAATAAAAAAATGTTGAATATCTGCCTATCTTGTTCTTAATCCTTATAATTTCATTTCCGAGTCATCTGTTCAAATGGGACAGAGATAATAATTTACTGACAAATGTCCTATACTACACAAAAATAAGGACCATGACCATTTTTACCTTCCTACAATTCGTCATTACCCAAATCATTACCCAATTCATCATTACCCATTCGACCTTTCCTATACAAAAGTCATCGCAATGGAAGTCTGATCACATCTCTCCCTTAATTGTTATCTCAAGAGAAATGATCCTGCAACATTTATAACATTTATAAACAACCCATAAGAATAAGAGAAGCTTCTTTGGTATCACTTAAGAGTTTAAAACCTTGAATTTCCTCGGGAACTTATTATGGCAGGTACCTTGATAGAAAGCATCAAGGCCCAAGCATTACATAAGAAAACGCTGCCCTCTTCAGGCAAGGTCCAACATTGAATCAACATTTATTTGCCGCAAACACGTTCTCAGAAAACAAGCAGCCTCTCTTAGGTTTGCAGTGGGGGGAAAGCCACCCAATGATCGCACTTCATTTGGTCAATCCCACAACAACACTGAATAACCTAAGAACCTGCCTACTATGAATTCTGTATGGTCTACAGCCATCCGGCTTTCTCTCCCACTCTCGCGCAGGGATGTGAAAACCAGCATTTACAAGAAGAATTATGCATGGCAGACATACTCCGAACAACGAAGAGAAAAGCTGCAGGATTAACTCTTTCGGGGCTTGCGCTGAATAGAATTCACAACTAAGTACTTCAGCTGCCCATAGGTCTCACCTACTTTTCTCCTGGGCTCTCCATGCTTCTCTGTATACTGTGTGTTGGGCTAGAAATATGCACCTGCGGTCACATTAGCTATTTATTTGTGTGACTGGAGCACAAGGAACGAGGGATGCAAGAGGCATCACGTCCAAGAAGGGTAGTTGTTGCTATTGCTCTGGGAAGCTGGCATCTTCTCTTCTCCTCCTCTTCCTCCTCTGTACTTTGGCACACACCTTTTAGGAAAGAAGGGCAAACCTTCTCACTCATCCCCTCTCTGCCGGTCCTGCTTTCCTCCTGCCGCTAAGCACTAGAAATCCGACTGGCTTCCTTCTCGCCCTTCAGGAGTTCACAGAAAGCATCAAGTGGCGCTCCAAGTACGCAAAGGCTGCAGCTCACCTCAGTTATGCAGGTGGCTAAGCGCCTGCTCCAAGCTCACCAACCACAAATCCCTGACGTGTCTCTGTTGCTTAAATAACGGGCGGCGCTTTCTCAATATTGCTAAAGCTGCAGCTTTAGCCGAGGCTGCTGGGCCAGAAAGCTACCCAGGGAAAACAAGTCGTAAATGCTAAATTGCAGTCACTAAGCGCGCGCGGGAGGGCAGGGGAGGGGAGGGGGGGAGAAGAGGGAAGCCCGGAGGAAAGAGTGCAAACAAAACCTGAAGTGACCCCCCCCCCCCTACAAAGCGACCGGAATTCGTTGCCAATGACTTTTCTGCTTCTCGTTATTCCCATTCGCGGCCGACCGCCGTTGCAGTAGCAGATGGCCATAACACGCTGGGGAGATAGATACCAACACTAGCGCGGCTCCGTTTTACAACAACTGGAACCCTTTCCACGTTCATTTGTTTCCTTTTCCCTGTTACGAGTCTCAGCATTTCTGACCTAGGCCAACTCCTGTTGTACGAAGTGGGGTTATAAAAGGCAAGCGGTCAAGACCCACAAACACAGAGACTGGCATCCCATCGGCCCCACCATCTCACAATCAAGGACAACGACGCTTCCCTCCCAATCCAATGCCGAAAGGCGGCCGGCGCTGGCCACACCGCGAGCTGCCTTCCCCTCGCTCACCTCAGTGTCGTAGTAGCGCAGGTCCAGAGAGTAGGGGTTGAGCAGCGATTCGTTGAGGATCTGCTCCATCGCCAATTGCATAGCCGGCAGGACCCCCCGGCCGATCTTGCCCTTCTCCACGGAGTCGCTCAGCGGCATTAAGCCCATAATGGCGATGGGGGTCGTAGGGGAAGAAGCGGCGTGGTGGGGGGACCCCGCCAGTCCCCGAGAGTTGCTCCGCGCCCAAGCTAACGAGAACAGCGGCAGCAGAAGCAAGGCAGGAGGAGGGATGGCCGCGCTCGGCCGCCAGGACAAGGCAGGCATCCTGCGGGGAACGTCAGGGGGAGAGCAGGACCAGGGCGCCGGCTGCCCTCCGCCGAACAGAGGGGAAGGGGCGCGCGCGCTGCGGCCCCTTCGGTTCGAGCCTCCCGGCAATGGCGCCTGCTCTTTCCTCGGGGTGGCTAAAAGGCAACCACTCTGAAAAGCAGCCGCCGTAGCAGCGGCGAAACTGCCGCCGCCGCCACCCCCTTCCTCCCACCCCCAGTCCAACAGGAATGAGAGCACCTTCTCAGCCCCTCACTCAGCCACAGCCTGGCTGGGCCAGGGCGCCCTCAGGCTTCTTGGCGCAGGATCCGAAGCCGGCGCGTAAAAGCGAGGAGGACTGAGGGGAACATCGGGGGTGGGGAGGGAAAATCTTCGCTCTTCCCGGGCTGGGAAGGCTACTGCCGCATTCCCCCGGAGCCTTCCCGACGCCGTGTTGCTAGCTGCTGCTGCTGCTGCTGCTGCCGCCGCGGCCGTTGCTGCAAACAGACACCGCGCCACCCCACTCGGCGCGCACAAGCGGCGCGCACAACCGGCGAAAAAGAAAGAAGCAGGCGCGGCGGCTCCAGAATATGCGGCGTCCACCCTTCGTGGGCTCGCCCCGGAGTGCGGTTACTTGATTTGGGTCGCCCGCCCGTGTCCGCCTTTCCTATCCGAGACAGGGCTTCTTTCCTTGCCGCCACCGCTGCTGCCGCTGTTGCAGCCGCCGCCGCTGCTCCCGCTGCTCCTGCTTGGGAACGCGTTCCTACGCGCTACCACCGAGGAGACGACACCGACACGAGAGGCGGGAGGTGCAGGGTTTGGGCACGTCCAATAGCCCATTGGAAGGCGAGAGGGGGGAGGTATTGGAGGGAGAGAATACGGCGTGGAGGTGGGGGGGGGGAGAGAGAGACCGAAAGGAAAGGTTCGGCAGGGGAGGGGGGGCGACAGCGCATCTGTCGAAGCGTTTTGTGTGCTCTGAAATGCCCTCCCTCTGACTGGCAGGGGCGCGCGCGCGCGCGGGCGCGCAGGCACACTCGGACGATTCCCTTAAGTTAAAAGGGCAGACGCCGAGGGGCATTTGGAAGAGGCTGAGGTTCCCAGCTGCCACATGCGTTGTAGGCCTTGAAAAGCTTCTCCCCATCTGTCGGAGAGCCCTCAAGAATAAGCTCAATGGTTCCTTCGCACCCGCGGAATACGGAGAAGTGGACGGCGCGAAAGTGTGAATCCGCCTGTTGGCTCCTGACCCGCAAGCCTAGCTTAGCGCTGCCTTCTCCCGCTTTCAAGAAGCCGCCAGTTGCAACCCGGGGAGGTACGTATTTGTGGTCTGGCCGGGCCGGGGATTGACGGTCCTTCCCGCCTCCTTTTGTTTTGTTTGCTAAGGGCAGGGAGCCCAAACTGCAGGTGAATGGAGCTTAGTGTGGGCTTGGGGAGTTTCACCCAGCTTGTCAGATCACGAACTCTGATTAGCTTTGATTTGGGCAGTAAGAGCTCTACAACGTATGTCAGAGAGAGTTGAAACTATTTAAATTATACTTTTAGATCAATTAAAGCTTAAAAATAGTGTACAAGCTTTCAGTCTTCCAGCCCAGTGAGATAAATGCTGTGAAGTTCAAAGGTTTGGACTCTTCTTTAGGTTAAGTAGGGGCTTCCAGAATTAAAAAATAATGGCAAGGATTGAACCTGAAAATTTCTGCAGGAAAACTATATTAGCATCTTCCCAACGTGTTTAAGATCCTTGGTTATATGTCACAGAAGACACATATAACTTGAATCATACTAAGCCATGCCCTGTGTACCATCTGTGTACTGAGATCTATGACTCAGTCCCCACTTTTTTCCCCTTTTTGCTTTTGTTAACCAAGTTTACAAAAGTCTGTGATGAGCTATCAAACAAAGCTGTTGCTGTCCACCGTAGAGCAACAAGCCCATCTACAGATCACAGACAATTTACACCGCTAGTAGAATAAATTTGACCACCAAGACACAAGTATTTCTCCCCCATCCCTTGGCAGAAAGCATCCAATGATTCAAATAGCTGCCTTAGAAAGACATCTGCCTCATTTTGCCTAATTGTAAAACTGTGTTGCCATCAAACATGTCAAATGGGTGGCTCCCAGTTTTCAGAAACCTGGTCATTCTGTAAGGTTCAGAGGCAACTGCACATAATTTCAAACCTTAGCCCTTTTCGTCATACTCCATGACTTTAAAAGGCTATCTCCATTTCCAAAAATATTATGTCATTAAGGAGCAAATTCATGCTTTCCATGTTAGTTGGATATCATATATAACTGACTTATGGAATTATTTTTAGCTTTGCATGTGGTAATTACATTGTTTGTGATTCAGATATTTTTATTTTTCAGACAGCTTGGCTGCTCTATTAATGCTGTTTATTTTTACGTCAATTTTCCCTATGAAAATAGATTACATTCCTCAGTTTCATGGTGAGCTCTGTGTCTGTGTGTGTGCGTGTGTGCGCACGCATGTGTGTGTTAGTGTATACATATGTGTAAGAAACCAAACAGACAAGCAATCAGGACAAAAGTCTGATTCCAACTTGGAGCATTTTAAAAATGAGAGCTATAGTTATACATTGTGTCAGATGAAGGATCACTTGACACCAAAACAGTCTCCAACCCAATATTCAAATTAGCAAGGATGAAATATGAATCTGTAAAAACAGTTTGTGCCAGAAAATAATTTTTAATAGAAGCAACATATTGATTGATGCTGTGGTTTATAAGTAGAAATATTCTGAAACTACAGGTAAGTCCTTGATAGTCTACTGTATTGTTTTATTATATATTTAAATCAAGTTGCATGAATAAAAATACATTTTCAGTAAACCATGTGTTTATGTATTTGAAATTAGCAAAGCAGAGTGCAGTTCTGAGTAGGGGGGGTTCAGTACCAGGCATTCAGTTTAGCTGAAACAAAGTTCACATGTTGATAGCAACAAGGCTTTATTTGATGCAGCAAAAAAGTTGATGCAATTAATAAATTGTTTATCATTAAGATGCTACAAGAGTTGTTGTGCTTTTTAAAGAATGAAACCCATTAATTAAAAAACAATGTAGAGCTCTGGATCACCTTGAAGATTAAGACATTTATTGGGTAAATGCTTTTATGAACTAGAGTCTGCTTCATTAAAAGTGTATTTAATTCTAACAATAATGCCCATCTTTGTCAAATATTAAAAAGTCCTTCATGAACAAAGGTTATCAGCATGTATTTTCCAGAAAAGTCTCTTTCTCTTTTATAGTTTGCCACTATGCCTTTACAGACGATCTATCTCCAGCAATAAGACTTTGCAAGTGGATTATTAGTAATGAACCTCATTCTTTATTTATAATGGTGCTGCTTATGAATGCAAGTTGACTCACATTTTTGATGTATTTCCAAAGATCTTTAAAGAGCATTATAAATGTATTCTTGCTTTAGTATTATGACATCATTTGACTGATAGCATTACAAATGTCTACACATATAACGAACCCGACAAGGATTAGAAGATAAGCCATGGAAAATAATAAACTGTTTTCAACAAATAAGATTAATTTTTTTTAAAGTAGAGCTATGCTAAGATAGCAAAGAAATATTAAATAAGAGAAAAATTGGAATGTGATTAAACATTGAAGTGGAAAATTCAGTACATTACACACTACTGAACATATATATATATATATGTACAGTATATATATATTGACAATGTTGACAACAACAAGGAATAGTAATGAACAAAACAGAACTTTTAGAACAAGAAACTATGTTAAATTTAATCCTTTCAGACTAGTTTTTGAGGAAAAAACAAATCAGGAAGAACAGTTCTTTAGGCATGAGCAAAATTCTGCTAAGCTTTATTGTGAATCCCAGCCACACATTCTATATATCAATCGTATACAATCATGTACGAAAAAGCTACTAACACACAGTTTGTGAAATCCATAATTATGTAAGTGCTATTCTGCAAAGCACTTGAAGGCAAGACAAGAAGCAACAGATGGAAACTAATCAAGGAGAGAAGCAATCTAGAACTAAGGAGAAATTTCCTGACAGTTAGAATAATTAATCAGTGGAACAACTTACCTCCAGGAGTTGTGGGTGTTCCAAAACTGGAGGTTTTTAAGAAGAGATTGGACAACCGTTTGTCTAAAAATGGTATAGGGTTCCCTTGCTTGAGCAGGGAGTTGGACTAGAAGACCTCCAAGGATTCTTCAAACTCTGTTATTCTGTTATTTATTGAGCACTTAGAACTAATCTTAGTTTTAATAACTCATTATTAATTGTAATTCTTAATGTTGCTGGTAATCCTCAATTTACTGTCACAATTGGGACTGGAATATCAGTCGTTAAGCAGTAGTCATTAAGGAAAATGTCATATGACTGCTTCAATGTCCACAATCTCAGCACTCCCAGTTACTCCCCGTAAAACTGTGGCTGTTAGTTTTATGTCTACTGATATTTAAAAAAAGAATAGCTTTGTCCTAAGGCAGGGGTCTTCAAACTTGGCCTTTTATAACTTGTGGACTTCAACTCCCAGAATTTCTCAACTGCATGCCTGGCTGAGGAATTCTGGGAGTTGAAGTTCACAAGTCATAAAAGGGCCAAGTTTGAAGACTCCTGTCCTAAGATAACAAAAAGAAGCAAGTCTTGCTTTACCATCAGTTAAGTGTAATAATGTTGTAAATACAATTTAATATCATAAGCTGTCCAGAGTTACCCTATGGTAAGATATATTTAATAAATAAATAAATAAATAAGTAAGTGTCCAAATAACATTGGAAATAACATTGACATCTTTTAACTTGAAAACGTTTACACAGACATCTACTGATATATACTCTGTGTGTGTGTGTGTGTATTACAATATTCTTCCAAAAATAAACCAAAACTGGACATGACCATATTTGTTAATTTACTCTCATTTTTCCTATCATGGAAAATCTACCATCCATCCTTTCTGATATATTCTTTGAAGAGTCCAATAAGTATAAAATCCTTTGATAGATTAACTTCAATTT